GATGTGTGAGGGTCTCAGACCGATGTGTGAGGGTCTCATGATGTGTGAGGGTCTCAGACCGATGTGTGAGGGTCTCATGATGTGTGAGGGTCTCAGACTGATGTGTGAGGGTCTCAGACTGATGTGTGAGGGTCTCAGACTGATGTGTGAGGGTCTCAGACTGATGTGTGAGGGTCTCACACTGATGTCTGAGGGTCTCAGACTGATGTCTGCTCCTCACAGTCAGCTCTACCTGGAGTTGACTGACCAATGAGCAGAGAGCAGCAACTCTATGGTTATAGTCATTACATGAAGCTAAGAAGCTCCACCTAACACTAAGACTGAACTGGGACTGATCATCTGATCTATCAGGGGTCTATCAGGGGTCTATCAGGGGTCTATCAGGGGTCTATCAGGGGTCTCATGGTGAAAGTGAACAGTCTGAGTGTGAACCACAGAACTCTTCAGATCAGCACATGTTTCTGTTCTCCTGGACTTCCTACATCCTGGTGACTCAGAGCTGTGACACAGTGCTTAGTGGAGTCATTCTGTGATCAGTGGGTTGCTGGTTTCATCTCCTGCCTTGCCTGTTGGTGGTGGTCAGAGGGTCCGATGGCAGCCCACCTCTGTCAGTCTGCCCAGGACAGAGCTTAGCACCTTCAGGTGTGTGTTTACCTGCACAGGTGAGTTGTTCAGAGGTGGTCTACATCCTGTTGGAGGTGTTTGTGGAAGCAGGAGTACAGAAGCTTTTAGTGTTTGTACCGTTGATACGTGAGACCCCCACACTAAGACCCTGACTGCAGCTGTCAGTCCTACCTGTCAGTCATCAGATGTTTGTTGTTGTTTACTTGTTGTGTAATATATAAACCTGCATGTCTGTCAGAAACTTCACAGCTTGTATTAAAACTAAATGAGGTCAAACCAAAACACTTGAGTTTGTTTTTATTTTCCATCAAATCTTTTCTTTTGTTTCAGATTTGAATCAGTTTCAGTTGAACTCAGAAATAAAGTTTAACTTCATAAAGACAGAAACTGCAGCATCTCAGTGGCTTTCAGGTCAGACTTGGATTAGGTCACTCAGGTGTAGTGATGGGAAAATGAGGCTTTTCTGAAGCACTGAAGCTTGCTTTGAACAAGGCTTCATTCCTCGAAGCTGTCCAACACAGCTGTGTTTGGCGCCACCCTGTGGACAGAAGTATGAGAAGCTGCTTGAAACAACACAAAGTGAAGCTCTTCATCGTGATGGAGCTGACAGCTCTTTAATTGTGTTACTTGAACAGATTTTATTTATTTATTTTCTTTTTTGTGGGTGGGAATAAAGTTACTGTTGTTTATGGTTTATTATAAATAAATTAAATAAATAAAGTGTGCCTGTGTATTTTATACTGAATTATTTCAAGTTCAAGATCTTAATTCATTTTCATTTAAAAACAAAATTAATTCTATTCACACACAAAAAAATCACAAATAAAATGAAAGACAGAAAGCAGAAAGAAAAGTCTAATTTTATTCTCTGCCCCTTATTTTCAAAACAGTAAAATATAGGCT